TATTCAACAAGAGCCTCCCCCCCCCCCCCCACAGCTCTCAGTCCATATAATTAATTTTCAACTTTGCTGCACATTACAATAATCCTGTTATCCATATCAAATTGACATGTGTACTTTCTGGCTGCCTCCAATCCTTTCAGTGCAACCAAGAATGTTGTTTTCTGTTCAGCAATTTCCTCTTCTTTTTCTGGTTCTACTTGTGGCCTAGTCAAATGCTGACCTAACACCTGATGGATACTCTGGATTCTGCAAACCTCAAGAGCACTGTCACATGTTGTGTAGTCCTCAAAATTCACTCCAAGAGATTGTAAACTGTGATAAGTCATTCTCTTAATCTTTACTGAGTTTCAGTGCACTGTCGTCACTGCTGCTGACATAATAATTTCAGAAACCACACTGCATAAAGCAATTCTTGATTGTAGTGTGTTACCAATCTCCAGCTTCATCTGTGTAGCATCTTGGAACAGTCACCCCTTCCATCTACCATGGCTACAGTCTTCCAGATCAACTGCTTTCTATAATGACACTTGAATGCATGGACGATTCCAAAATTTTAAGGCTGCAGCTGGTTGGCACAATTAACTGGCAGAAATACAACTTTGAGGTTGCTGAGAAATGTGGCATTCTTCGAATGGGCAGCACACTGACCAATGAAAAGCAAGATTTGTGATTTTCAGCACCCAGTTTTCTATCTCATTGTGTGAGGTTATCTTAAAATATTTTGGTGGACATCCAAGAATTTGTATTAGTTTCACATTTTACAGACAGTCTTTTGACATTCTTTGAGCAAAGTGGAATTATATATTTTCCAGTTACAAGAGGTGGCAGTTTATCACTACCATCGGCATTGCACACACGAAGTACAGCAACCTGCTGTTTAGATGTTATATGACCATGGCAAAAGTTTCCTTGAAAAGTGAAGGTGTTGACAGGTTGTAGCCTGAAAAACAGATTGGTCTCACCAACAGTTTACATACCACAGAGGTACCTACAATTTCTTGCAAATAGAAATTTTCCAGTGTTCTACAGTTTCTGGATCAACACCCTTATGCTCACCCAACAGAGCTCTGTACACATGTGGCATGTTCTCTTAAATCTGTCGGTCTACCCACTGAAAGCCAAGAAGTTGGCTATCCTCATGCATGCAGCAATATGCAAGGCCTTCTTAAGGTGGGTGCCATCTACTGAAGCACTGCTTTCATGTGCTTGCTTGAGCCAGCAAGTGTAGATTCCAGTTTCTCCCATGGCAAATGTTTCAGTGATTTCCACAGCTTATAGAGAGGCCCACAATGGATATACCTTCTTTCAATTTCTTCACGTTTCTTCATAGTGGGCAATGAAATTCTCAAGTGTGACGCCTTTACAACACATGTGCGTAAGTTTGCATCAACCAGCACTAAAATAGTTACTTTATCAGTTATTGTAATTGATTTCTGTATTCCTTCATCCATATTTCATCCTCTTGCTGTGAAATTCATCTTAATCAACAATAAAGTATGATCTCTATGAAGTGAAGTCACCTGGGCACTGGGAGACTGAAAGATTTAACCTGGACACATTTCTGTTGATTGTTCTACTTGCGAAAACATGCTCGCTGTTACAATGGTCATTGTTTGGAATATTTATCAGACACGAGAGAGACACACTGCTCTCTCAGTTACGGTTATACTAAAATGCAACAAAATTAAAGCTGGCCTAACATGTGAGCTGCTTCCACTGCAGTGGCAGGAAAATCCCCTCATGCCTGAGGTCTTAGTGAAGTCACATGATGTACGCAAATCACTTACAGCTGTGCATCAGCCTCTTTATTTATAAGAAATGACAAAAGGACTCAACTTTGAACCATGAAAATATTCCACCTGTTATGCCCTCTTTGAGATAAATGATAGTAAATTGATATCTGTTAACAACAGTTGATGACAGCTTTTCAAATATATTACAACTAATACTCATGTACTGAAATATAATTCTTAAAAATTTAATAATTTTGTTACTAATTTATACTACTGTGTATGTGCAAACATATATATGAATATAAATGAATCAGAGCAACACAGTAAACTGGACGAAACTCACATCAAAACCTTGCAAACGACCCACATCCATCATGTCATTGGCAGCCTTCGGAACAACTTGCATGACCTGCATTGCCTGACGCAGAGACTCTGTTTCATTGTGTAATTTGGCTCGTTCAGTGTACTTATAGATATCACGGAGAAGCAATTGGTACTTCATAATTCGCTGAACTGGCTTGATCAGTAGATCACACAATTGCAGTTTGTGCCCCAACTTTTGGCGCAGTTCCTGTAAAAGTGTAATATAACTTTACAAAACAATGTAATCATGAGAAAGGAGTTTAAAACACCAATCATAAGAATTTCCTAAATAAAATCTGAATTTTAACAAATTGACCAATCTGTTCCAAAATGAAATTCACTCTGCAACTTATACTGCATACCAAATTTCATTCACATGCGTGAATTGGCTGGGAGACATAACATGCAGTTAAGTAGATAGATGCAATCTAATTTACTGCTTCCACTTCTGCAAACTATAAATCAGGAACTAAAATTACCAACCTCAAAATAGGTGTCGATGTATTCTGACACGATGTATTCTGAGACAGGTTTGTTCTGGCAGTAGACAACATACATGTAAAGCTTGCGCTCATATCGTTTGAACAAGGGACCCAGCTCTTCTGGATGCTCAGTACACTTTTCTAGTGCCTTCAAGAAAAAACTGAAACAATTACAAAATACTATATTACAAGCATAACTGTGATTCACACAACATATCTTAAGTGACCAAATTTGGAACAAATCTGTGTGTGCCATTCATCAAAATTTTGGAAACTGTGATGTACCAAGATAAGGGCAGGAGTCATACAGACTGACCTATGCAGCTTAAATATTTAAATGTCTATTTAAATTTTACAAGAGGCATCCAGTTAGAACTGGATGAGTGAAACTGTCCAACTAAAGTTCTTCATGTTTTATTTGGTCATTTCATGTATTTTAAACAAGTTAAATAAGCTGTGGCTCTTTCTATCCCAGAACTCTGATTCACTGTTTTACAAGCATTCTTGACTATCATTCAATAATAATAACCTCTGTAGTTGATATAATCTGTCATCCAGTATTTATTTGTGTATCATTATTAGAGGGAAGTTGTTTGTTTGTACTCTATAATACTTCTTTTAAATACATGTGCACCCATTCTAATCAAAAAAAAAAATTCTTTGCAGAATACACAAAACTGGAAGTTCTGTGTACATCCCTTTTCAATCTGTTTTTATATGCACCTTCATATATATATAAGCATTAGTCATATAAAAAAATGTTAATTTTTCTGGTTTCATCAGGGACCTACCAACATACTCCCTATTCAGTCTACTTCAGAAACTTATACTGTTCATGTAAGTTTAATTTTAATTACATAAATCTCAAATCTTGATACCTTACTGTTAGCATCTTTATTCCATAAACTAACTTATTGTTGATGTTACATCAACAATTAGTCATAGTGGGAGCTTCTGTGATGATTCTAAGCCAGATCACTAGTTGTCATATGTTTACATTCCCACATGTAAAAACAGGCAAATTATGCTGCAATACAGAAACTCATACATTTACAAATTAAATATGCCACTAAAGCATTTAAAATAACTGGAAGAATCCATAAATACATACAAATGACAAATTTCAGCATCAATACCTCTGTCAAGAGTGAACACGAAAATCTGAAACAAGATGGTAATATTCATGCTTGAGACAGCAAAAGTTTTAACTAATAAATCAGTTTTCATTTAGTGTTTGATTTCACTCTTTTATAGCAGGAAGTTTCCTCACAAAGGCGCATCAATCACATCAAACTGAAAGAAATTTTAAAGAGGTCTGTGAATTATGAATTCATGATGAAAGAAGAAAGGGTTCCTTTCTAGCTTCAGTTTAAGTGCTGTATGCCACTAAATTTTAAGAAAATAGTGCTTTATATTACCAAAGATGTTACTTGAAACATGTTAGCAATTTAAGGAGAGTAAGAGTGAGAGAGTAATTCCAAAAACCTGGTAATTCAAGGAGAGTAAGTCTGGAACAGTATTAACAGATTTTGAGATTAGTGAAGTGGATGATCATAAGTGGTTTACATTCTTCAGAGACCATCATGAAGCTAGCTACTAACAGTCTGGTGTCAGAATTTCTGTAACACGTTTCCCAAAATTAATATCTTTGAACCCCAACAATGTATCAAAAAGGTGGAGATACATGAGACATGGTAAAGAAAAGGTAAAAGGTAAAGCTATCCTTGTAACAGGCTGTGAAGGCCCATAGGGTTCTGAGATGTTGAGGATCCCACATTTTCTAGACAATCGGCCCAAAGATAGCAGTGAGGTTGTCAGCCTTACGCGCCGGCCGCGCTTTACTCCCCAGGAAAAGCCACTCGTTTTATTTTTGCTGTAGCCTAAAGCTTTTAGTTCANGGAAGGTCACGGGTTCAAGTCCCGATAAGGTCATTGGATTTTTTTCAATTGACCTAATCCTTCCAGCCACACTATGGCCCTGGGGTTGACCCAGATTCTAACAGAAATGCATACCAGGAATTAATTAAATAATTTTCCTGGGGAGTAAAGCGCGGCCAGCACATAAGGCTGAGAGCCTTACCACTATCTTTGATCCAATTGTCTAGATAATGTGGGACACTCAACATCTCACAACTGTATGGGCCTTCACGGCCTGTTACAGGGATAGATCTACTTTTTTTACTTTTACTCATTTCTGTTAGACGCTTAGTCAACCCCAGGGCCATAGTGCAGCTGGAAGGGTTAGGTAAAGTGAAAAAATCCAGTGATCTCATTGGGAATCGAACCCGCAACCTTCCAGCTTGTAGCATAGTGCCCCTACTTGAGACATGACCTTGAAGAAAGATTTTAATCCACTGAGATCATCAGATACTTGTATATCACAGAACTGACACTGGTCTCTGCATGTCTAACTATGATGTTGGTATGAATTTATATTTTAAATGGGGGCAACCACTGGGCACAATTTCTGATAACAGAATGGTGGTCTGATGAAGACTGTGGTGGTGGTGGCCTGTGGAGAGGATCCAAAGGAGACTGGCCACATGGTATTTACTGAACCTTTCATACACTAAAAGCCAGTTAGAGTTGCTTATTATACTTAAATAAAACAGCCACAGCCAAAGAGATTGGCTTGATGTTAAAGAGGATAAAATCAGTTTTCCCACTATCAATACCCATGGTCATATAATGGTAGTCTAAGGAAGAATTACACATTCTTCTTTTCAACCACATTTACCCCCAGGCAGTTCTGACATTTCTAGAAGGCAGTTCTATGGTGGGGCTTGGAAGCCAAAGTGCTGATAAGTATTTAAGCACAGCTTTTTATAAAAAGAAATGCTTATTAGGCTTGGTAGTCTACATGATTCAAACTTAATGTTTTGAGCCATGTCCACTTGTTAAGTAGCTATCCATCCAGAACCATGTGCCTCTGCTCAGTTGAAAATGTCAGATCAGCCACTGTGAAGGATAAATGTAGGTACCACATGCATCCAGACACATTAATCTTGATTGAAACATGTCTTCACTGATGTGGTAAACGAGTTCACAAAAATGCAGGAGAAAATTCTGTGTTCCTAGACCTTACAGTTTGTAATCTACAACTATTATAATTTTGACCTTCTTTAATATTTACTTTTTTCCAAGACAATTATGCCTGCTTTTTAACTTACCACATAATATATCCATGGTACAAATTAAAACAAGCTCATATTCAGAACTCAGCTTCAGAAAGCAGTGTTATGAGTTCCATGTTTCTACTTTCATTAGTTACAACTATACACTGTTTCATTTGTAACTCTTTTTCGTGTAAAACTGATCACAAACCACAAGATGAAACGGATAACTTCCAACGTTTTAGAGATGCACCACTGACATTTCTGTCCATGATTATCAATGTAAAATAATACAGTGTTCCCTATACAATTTTCACAACATGCATGTAATTTTATTTCACTTCAATATTTTAACTGAATGCCATTCTAATTAGATTAGAAGGTATCAGTATAACAAAACATTTTTTCTGTTTACCTTAAGTTGGATACAGTCTAGATCACTAGATTCAGAGCAATACAGATTTAGTGCTATTTCGTTTATACCCCTCTTTTAGGTTTACTGTTTTCCTGTCTGCATTATTACGATATTGGCCTATGCCCCAGTTACTGGTACTTCCTTACACATAATTCAAGCTACCAGACATTTATGTCATTATTAAGATAATTAATGGCCAATTATTTCTGGAATGTTCAAATCATTGTGTCTGGAAAGTAAATGCTTTAAATAAATACTGATCTGAAACACATGAGTCAGCTGTACTGTATCCAAACTGTTTCAAGGTCTACTATGCCTAGGCTATGCAGGGTTATAGAATCTAGACTATTTTTATTCTCACAAGCCAAACTCAGGACATACTTTCTTCTGATCATTATCTACTTTCAAAACTGCAAGAAGTAAAAGTAGAAGACTCATCATTTATTAAAGTAAACCATATTATGGAAGGTGAGTTAAATATTAATTGAAAACCTATGATGACATGGGAAACAGAATACAAAGTGACCAGGTGAAACAATAATTTGTAACTCTTTGTCAGTCAGTAAATGCATATTTAAAGGTATAGTCTATATTCTATAGTAATGTTGTAAATGATATCTTTTGTTTTAAGAGATTTCACTATCTGAACAAAATATTTTATGCATATTACTGAGCAAGCTGGATGAGGCAGAAATGCACCTAGTTTTATTTGAGAGTTGCCTGGTTCAAATCTCAGCTGGGAAAATAACTATCCTTAAGTTTTATGGTTTTCCTCAGTCTCTCCAGGTAAAAGCCAGGAGAGCACCTCAAATCAGTCTATGATGACTTCTTTCCACATCCTTTCAAATTCATTGTTCACTATCCATCCAACCGGCCATTTGAAAGTTCCCGGACTAGGTCAAAAAAGAAATTCTGGCTCAACTTACTCAATTTTGGCTGTCATCTCTTTCACAATGGTCTCCGTGGGAACGTATATAGCGATCCCATCATCTTTTCCACACTTCAAATGCACCGTGGAAGTTATTTTCCTTAATGCTGTCAAGTACCATTTGCAATTTCTTTTGGACGTCAGACACTGTTTCAAAACATCGTCCCTTCAAAAGCGAAATCACAGGGGCTAAGTCTGGTGAGAAGGGAGGATAGGGAATGATAACCATGTTGATAGTAACAAACTCCCTTCTCTCGTAGCTTAAGACACAAGTTTACATGCCACTGCTTTTGATCATTTGTCAAGAGTCACGGAACAAACTTCACAGCAATGCGGCGGATGTTCAAATTTTCCGTTAAGATCTCCTGGCAAACTCCATAACTGATCCAAATGGTGTCTGCAAGCTCATGGAATGTTTGGCGGTAGTCCTCTCAAAAACTGTCAACATTTTCTGCCATTTTCCTGGTATTTGGTTGACCTGAACGTTCGTTATTTTGTCATCTTCAACTGACACTTGACTGGCCTTGAAACATCAATTCCATTCAAAAACCATTGTGTGGCTTAAAGAATGTTCTCCAAAAGCCTCACAAAGCATTTCAGGGGGTTTGGCAGCAGATTTACTGAGTTTCATGCAAAACTTTATGCAGATATGTTGGTCAATTTTGCCATCCATTACAGACAAAACAAAACAAGAAGTCGAAAAAGCACTTTTGTAAAAACAACACATGTTCACAGTGTGGTGTCACATGGCAGACTGATGCAATAGGCTTGTGGAAGTGTGACCTTTGCCTCCTCTCTCATCTTCTTTCACTGATGCAGTTACAATAACAACAGTCCACGAACTTTCTGACAGAACCTCATATATAACCTCAGCTACTGAAAACTGGTGCTAAATAAACCACAAATACATAAATAAGTGTCTTTCCACCTAGGTATACTGACTGACATTTACACTTGCAAGTATATTTTCCAACTGAAGTATTTTTTACAAAAATCATTTAACACCATACAGAATAATAAATGATAACAAAAATCAGGTAAAACAGTTCTAGCTGTATTACATGCTGGGAACTGCAAACATTTTATTGCATGGAGTCATGTCACATGAAACGTGAAGCATTGGGAATTTCTGACAAATGGTTCCATAATGAGAAAAAAGATTAAACTATGATATGGCTGTATCCAATACATCATCCTCAGTTCCAAGCCTCCTAACTGGATAAACAACTTTCCAATGATGTCTCCATACTACAGAAAATATCAATGCTCTGCCATTAAAGTATTCAGTTGGGTCAAGAGGTTCTGATATTTGCATACTTGGAGAGCTAAAGTGTAGTTCTAGCTGTGTCACCAAGTTGGGAGATATCAGAACCACTTTTAAAATATTTATCGAAATTTCATGTTTATCTGAGCAATGTAAAATTGGAATTTCTGTTGTCTGTTAATCAGTCACCCTATGATATGAACAAATAATGTTCAAAAGATGGTTTGATGCCATGAAATTGTACAGTGTCTCTGTACTACTCCACTGCACGACCATCTTTTCATTTCTTCGTCTGGTTATGCTATGAAACTGCTTACACAAAATCACACAGTAAATACTTACTCCCTATGCCAATCATATATAGCTTCCACATTGCCGAACACCATTTTGTCCTTGCCCCCTCTCAAGTCCTCTGGCATGGGAATTTCACAATCAGAGTCCTTCATAAGAGCCATATATCCCTCTACGACCTCACGGAGGTCATGGACATAGTCCCTTTCTGTATCCACTAGCTCACGAATCACATATTCTCGCCTCTGGATTGCAGTTTGTTCACTAGAAGCACTGATGCCATCTGTGGTGCTGCTCCCTGCCATTGCCACACCCCCATCATCCTTATCCACACTACTCTCCAGTGTCCCACCTACAGCTGACTCAAAAGTCGCAGTAATGTTACTGTCCTCCTCATCACACACACTAGTAGCACTTTCACCCACTGGTTTCAGTTCTCGATTCAACAGACTGTTCCTCTCTTGGTTCTCTGTGTGCTGTTCCTATAAGCAAAATGGGAAACTGTTAGCACATTACAATGAACATCGTATATTTTCTGAACATGAAGCTGTACATTTGCCCCAAAATTTATGAAGTGTGAGTTACTCTGTGTTACCATACTTATTTACTTCAACAAGCAGATAATATAAAAATTAATCTTTGCATACATATAACAATGGAGTTTGTTTACACAAACAAACAAAAATTCAATCATATTTCCTAAAGGAAGATTAAACACAAAGATCTACAAATATTACATTGACTCTAGTACTTCCCTTGCATATTCATAGTGGAATTTCTATATCAATAATGTTGGATTTTAATAAACTAAATTCAATGTGAAAAAATACATACTTTCATTAGCATCAACAAAATGTTTTTTATCTATCTTTCTTACAGGAAGAAAAGCTTGTAAGATTACAATGCCATTTCTGTGTATTGTGTGTCTGTCTGTCATGTGCGTTTGTGCATGCACTTGTGTATGTGTTGAAAGGCGGGTCTCCCACTTGCAACTCTCAAAGAACATGACCAAATTCTATGAAATATGGTACAGACATTACACCTATAAAGGTGGCTACAACCTCATACTCTCTAATTTCCTACAACTAATAACAACTAGCAACACCAAATGGCAAATGCAAAAACTTGTGAGACAGGAACAACATTAATACCTACTAACTAAAGTCCTGATATAGGTAGAGGTATAGTCCTGAAAACAAAAGTCCTGGGGTAGTCTGACATGCAGTTTGAGGTTGAAATAAATGGACACGAATCATGATATTCAGTCATTCTCTTTGTTTGCATAATGATGCTTAGCATTTTTAAAGGCTGAACTGTATGATAAACTTTTCACACAATTCACATACTTAAAACAATGCTCTTTCTGCATCAACTGAGAGGAAAACAAATAAGCAGCTGTAAATTCTAATGTTTTCTATGTAAAATCTTTAACAAAAATATTCTGAAATTGTTATCAAGCATTTTCATGAGATGATATTCTATTTCTAAAGTGAAATTATTCTTTTCCAGAAAACTATAACAAGAATGTAGATCTTGTTGACTTTCATTAACCACTAAGTCTGACATCACAGCCCTAAACAGATGACAGGGCAGCATTATTCAAAATTTCACATGGGCACTGCACTGGACAACCCTGCCTTGAACATGGCCCTGGACATAATGTATGACTACAAACCTTCAGAAAGTACTGTCACTTGTATGAGGGTGACTACAGATGAGTTTTGGATTGATGATCACATTTATTGGACTCTTTTGATACAACGGAAGAATACACTATACAATTCACTATTACACATATACACTAGTATACACAGTCACATCTTTACTAGCTGTTGTTTGGTAGTGGCTTCCAATGGTGACTGTTCCCCTTCCTCTGGGTTCCTGAACTATTCACAGCCTCAGCTACCACCTTCTCACAGCAACATCTCACGAGGACTGAACCACAGAAGTCCTCTAACTCACGAACCAACTCTACTCCACTCACTGCCATCTCATAACTGCAGGTGTTCTTTGTTATATAGCCTCGGCACAGACAGCACAGAAAACACCGCTTCAAACAGTTCTATTGTTTCATGTGTCTGTTGCAGCCATTACTTAGCAATGGCATTTGTTTACAAAACAATTACCTATCAATGGCTGTTGTATAGCTGCTTATTTCAGGGTAATTGCCTAGCAACAGGTCTACAATGCCACAATATGCAACTATTGTTAAGGCACATTTCTTTTGCAGAATATGAACAATTGCAAACACAGTTATAGCGTGAAATTCTGAGGGTACATTCAACAATTTTTACACAGACAAAATCTGTAATAATAAATTCCATCCAAAAAGAAAATACAATTACTATTACTTTTTCCTGGTACTCATTTCTATTAGAGGCTGAGTCAACACCAGGGACATAGGGCAGCTGGAAGGATTAGGTCAAGTGAGAAAAAACTAATGACTTCATCGGGACTTGAACCCGCAAACTTCCAGCTTGTAGCATAGGGCCTCAACCATATTCTTGGGGGTAAAGGGCGGCCAGCGCATAAGGCTGACAACCTTGCCACCATCTATGAGCCGATTATCTAGAAAATGTGCGAATCTCAACATCTCACAAACCTATGTGCCTCCACAGCCTGTTACAGGGATACCTTCACTTTGCTTTTTACTTTTAATATTACTTTTTCCTCTACTACTTACAACAGTAGTAATAGTTTATAACAGATTTACAATTTCAATCAATAAAAAATTTAGACTCAAGTAGGATTTGAGCTATGACCTTCTGCAAGTAAGTCTAGCATCTTTAATCATGAGATAAGTTTAATTTTCTTTGACTGATTATAAATTTACACTACACAGACATGATATGATGATGTGAGATTTATACAATTTGAAGTGTGTGCCATAGGAAAGTAGGCTTTATGGGAACTACTTTGAGTTGTTACTCTTGTGTCATAAAAATCATGCAACATGTAATTATATCTGGTTTGAGAACAGTATATTTAAGTTATGCTCCAGTTAAGTGTCATGCAACGATAAGACAAGGGCATGAAAAACTATCAACTTTTTTGTACATTATATTTAACTACTCTAGACTTCTCTGTTTACAGACTGTTCATACAAGGGTTGGATAAAAAGTAGTGGCAACACTGCTGTAACATGAAACATGTGCATCAGGTGGCACTAGCGCCATCTGTAGCTGATAGCAGAAGTTCAGTCGAAGTAGTGCAGTGAGTGGCACTGGTTGTGTTTCATTGAGTTGCATTGTGCATCGTCTTGACATGCAGGAGCCCAGTTCAAGCACCCTAACAACATGTTTACAAAACAAGAACAACACTCCTTGATAAAAATTGAAGTTGCATGACGTCATAGTGCACAAAACTGTTATCAGGGACTGTGAAAAGCATGTGGTGATGCTGCTTTGCCATATCGCACAGTGGCACGATGGTTGAAATTGTTCCGTGAAGGGAGGGATGCCATTCAGGACAGCTGTCGTTCAGGACGACCCCATGTTGACAACCACATAATTCAGCTTCTTGCTTCTTTGCTGGATGTCGATCATTGATGGGCTGCATGGGAGTTAGCTCCTGAGGTAGGCATATGTCACGAAACCATGCTCCACATTCTGTACAATATTCTTGGATACCCCAAAATTGCAGCGCGTTGGGTACCCCATACAATGCGCTGATGTTGTACGACGCCTTCCACAAATTTGGCAGTAGGTGGTACACATGGGGGGGGCAATTAAATTGAAGGAATGTAAGTGTGTTTACCTCAGGTAACAAAGTAATTTCAGAACTACAGAGGTGTTGCCACTACTTTTTCTTCAACCTTTGTATTTTGTTTCCTTCACATTATCAGACATTTGCAATTACAACTTTTCAGACAACTAGAAAAGCTTTCTTTTGTCTCCATAAATAAGAAATTCTGAGCAGATAGGTGACATGGTAAAACTCGATACACTTGAATTTGGGAGGTCCTTGGTATAAATTTCAGCTTAGGTATGGTTATCCTGGTCGAGTTTCCATGTGGTCTTCCTCAGTCCATCCAGGCAAATGTTAGGATCGTGCCTTGAATGGGTCATGACTGCTTCCTTCCACATCATTTCCAATTTATTATTTATCGATCACTCTACTACTTGACACTATATAGCATAAGATACTGACAACACCATAAAATAAACCACAGAAGAAAAAAAACAAATAATCACAACAATAACTTCCTAAGATACAAAGTCACAGACTGATAAAACAATCTCTACAACACTATAACCTGTTATGTATTTCACAGCAACACTAGTGTGCCAAGAGCACACAAGTGAGGTCTGGAGTAATATTTGGTGAGAATAACAATGCATTTCAGTTTCTGGAAATACATTTTACGTTACACGTCAGTATCTGCAGCATGGCAAGACAACTTATGCATACATCTACAGTGAGAGGTACAAAACGTTGAAGATGTATTTCAAATTATAATTACTAATTAGTCCCTTTTTTCTAAATTCTAAATACATGTCTCTTCTTGCAAAACACACAGTTTCTAAACTTTCCCCACTGAGCAAAAATATGTGCATTAATCACTGAATAATATTGTGACATGTTGCGCAACGGAGAACCCCTCCCTACCCAGCAGCAACGTGGCAACTCAGGCCACAGTGACATGGCGGATGAGTCAGCGCTCCCCTCCCTCCCTCCGCACGGTAACGTAATGCGCAACGCACGGTGACATAAGACAGCATGAGGTAACAGCGTGGCTACGTAACAGGCCCACACAGCCCCTATATAAGAGAGCTGAGCTGCCTGCGGAGTTAGTTGTAACGTGGCCATCACTGAGCTCAGTTCCGAGCTAATTCCGAGCAAGCCTACGAGCGAGTGTGTTATCAACAGTTCTCCAGTCAGCCAACTATAGTTGGAGTATAGCAGCCGTCGCGGAAAGAAGAACCGGACATGTGTGTGATTGTGTAATTGGGAGCGTGTGATACAGCGATACCTAGCTCCCCTACTGTAAACGTGTAGACTACTGAAGACAGAGTGAACTGATTTGCGAATAGGGTTATAAAGTGTGAAACTCCGCAACAGTGGTAACAGATTAATGCGAATAGGGTTATAAATTGTGAAACCTCGCAACAGTGTGAACAGATTATTGCGATTAGGGTTATAAAGTGTGAAACCCCGCAACTGTGTTATAATTAATTGTAGCCGTGATTTGTAGGTTGTTAAATAAACCAGTTAACAATCCGAACGGCGTCTTCAGTAACCCAACACGTTACAATATTTATACCACAAGGCAACTCAGCTGCTCCTCTGTCTAAAACATTATTATTGAAGTTGAACAGATATCAGCTAAAATAACATTTCATAATAAATATACATATTAGTAAAAAATACAGAGTTTGAATAGGGCATGTAGCAGTATGGTTAGGGTGAGGCATTATGCTACGAGGGAGAGTCAGTAAACAGATCACAAATGGAAGTATAACAGCTGTAATGAACATAACAGGCCTTCTATGTGCATCACTAGGTAGCAGCACAGTTTAGCTTCATGACAGTCTAGGTAGCGGACGCACATGGGCATGTTCAGAGGCTGGATTTGGTAGTCAAAATGGTGACCATGCTTCAATGTTTCAAGAGTATACTACCACAGAGCTGCATTCTGTTGTGCATTATTTTTGTGGGCAAAAGGACTCAATGCAAAGGATATTCATAAAGAATTGTTTTCTATTTGTGGTGGGAAGTGTCTGTTGCATAAAGCAGCTCAAAAATTGGTTGAGAAATTCTCTCAAGGGCATTCAAAAGTCACAGATAATGCATGACCAGGTTGCCCTGTTGAGATTGTGATGGAAGCAACTGTGATGCAGGTGGAAGAGTTGATTCAAGCTGACAGGACAATAACAATAGACAGTGTCGCAACTTCACTAGGGTACTCCAATGGTTTAGCATACAACATAATGCATGATCGTTTGAAGTTGTGTTAAGTGTGTGCATGGTGAGTGCCCAGAGAACTGAAAAAAATGATCAAGAAAAAATTAACCAAATAGGTCTGTCCTTGCAGATGAAGGCAAAGATATGCTTAACAGGATTGTTGCTGGGGATGGATCATGAGTGCATCACTACCAACCAACCCTGTCCACCTTCAAACAAAAAGTTTACGGTTACAAGTACACTATCGGCTGGGAAGATTATGCTTATTGTGTTCTGGGATTCTTAGAAGAACTCTTAGCCCATTTTCAGAAGTGTGGTGAAAATGTGAATTCTACATCACACTGAAAAATTTTTCTGAAGCTTTTGGATGAAATTCACAGAAAATGTCCAGACCAACTGGCAAGAGGAGTACTGCTTCACCATGATAATGCCAGACCCCATTCAGCCCAAGCAATTCAGGAGAGAATTCAAGAACCACAGTGAAAACTTCCTGGACATCGCTTTACAGCCTGGGCTTGGCCCCTGGTGACTTCCATCTGTTTTGGTCACTAAACACCACCTTGGTGGCAAACATTTCGCTGATGACAAACAGGTTGAAACAGAGGGGCGGAAGTGGCTGACACAACAGTCAAAAAACTTCAATGTTGTGGGTTCTGATGCATGGTAAAGCAATGTGACAAGTGTATCAATGTTGGCTGAGGGTATGTCGAGAAATAAATATTTTTCCAGGTTCAAATATCACATGTTTTATGTTTTATACCCATTTGTGACCCATTTATTGAATCTCCATCATATAAGACGGAAGGTTGCAGTTTCGATTCCTGATGAGGTCAGTGGATTTTTCAATTGACCTAATTCCATCAGTCACACTATGGCCCTGGGGTCAACTCAGTCTCCAACAGAAATGAGTGCCAGGAATATTCTGTGGGGCTCTTAATGTAGTTTTGTCATTACTCCGATGACAACCCACTTCTTCGGAACAGTTGTGCGGCAGCGTGAGTTGGAGGTTGCTTGATCGCTGCACGGCTGCTGCTGGTGAAAGGCTAGTCGTTGAGCACGGTCGTAGGAGTCATGAGGCAGTGGCTACGCCAGATGCCCAGTGGGTCGGACCGTAACACGACCACCGGCGAGTCCAGGCGCAGTGCCCCAGTGAGTCAGGTGTGAGAGAACCGGAGGGCCGAGGCAGTTGTGCCTGGCGCAGCCTACCGATGGCTCCGAAGACTGAGCACTGGCGACGAAGCCTGCTGGCTGGTGTTCCTTGATCGAAGACTGAAGTCAGACTGATGAACTGAATACTCGGCGTTGGAGCTGCCCCTTTTTATACACTGCTCAGTGGGGCGGAGCGAAACTTGAAATTGAGGAGGAAGGATTGATTGGCTAGTGCGCATAATGACGTAGATGCTGGCTAGCAGGAGTCGTCGTATAAATGCGAACGTTTGAGGCAATCTGATTGGTTAGCGTGTGTGATGGTGAAAAGTGATGTGAAGAGCGAGCGTTGCAGAAATGCGTGATAATGTGGGATGTTCCCACAATTCCTTGGGGTAAAGGGTGGATGGCACACAAGGCTGACAACCTCACTGCCATCTGTGAGCAAATTGCCTAGAAAATGTGGGAGCCTCAACATCTCACGCCCTTATGGGCCTACACCCATTGTTACAGGAATAGCTTTACATTTTTTCCCTATCTTTATGTTTTATACTTAACCAATATATAAAAACACATAAACTACAATGCACCAAATAAGATGCAACACCTTGAAAGCATTAAATAATATACTAAGCTACTAATGAGTGCAATGAACTTCAAAGCAAGACAACTATATTCACCAGAAAGATGCAATTCAGAAAGGTGGGACTAGTGAGAGAAACCAAGCTTTTACAGATGAAGGAAGTTTCGAAGTATCATACTGTAACAGAGAATGTAATAAAAACATATCCTATTCAAAATAATGAAATAAACTATAAAGAGTTACAAGTGCTACAATTCAAATACATTCTTCAAAATACTGAAAATATTAATGACACAAAGCTACAAAACAAATATATTCCTGAAATCTCAAAAAAAAAAAAAAAAGTTCATTATATATGAGTAATTATAAATGATAGTACTGCATAAAACAAGTGCTTGGCTACAGTAACAATTAAAGTTATATTACTGGTGGATAAATAATCCTACAATCATACAAATATTTCTTCAAGATCATGCAAAAACAACACTGCAGGGCAAGAGAAAATGCATTCATTCCTTATTGTTCACAAAACAACACACCATTCGCTCTTTGACGATCTGTTCTATTTCCGCCAAGCCTGCAGATGTAGCTCCTTCCAGTGCTTTAAGGGAGAGGCTGGATGACTGCAAACATACACCATTATTCAAGCAATGTCTGCAACCTACTGGACACTCTTTATTTCACAAAGCCTGTCATACTGCATATCAACTGTGTAATGACAAATTATTATACATATAGGACTGTAACACAGCGCCGTTTGAAAATATATGAATGTTGGTTCCATACTGTGTTGTCAGAATACCACAAAATTGTAAGTAATTTTACATTCCCTTTTTAAAATCATAATCTGTGCAAAACACTGGCATATATGACTTTTTCTCCATTAACACTTCACTCCATTCTTTTAAGTACTATCTAACAATTGCCACTTACTAATCAAAATTTCTTGCAAGATATTCATAACTGCGGTAAGACAGCAGCATGAAACATGATATTCATAAGCAAACAAATATTTCTCATCTTTCTCCCACAACTATGAAAGGAAATCGTGTGAGTCTGGTTGAACTTTGGTTGCAATCTATGATAATAAATTAACATGGTACATCAGATCTGTGAAATCCAATCACTCCACTAAGTCCAAACATGGCATAAAATTTGACGAAAGAGAAGCCCTAGCAAACATCCATTCTACCAATCATGCATCAATGAAGTCACTGAAATGGTTAAAACAAGAATGCAACTTTAACACTGAGGAAGAGTATAAACTCAGTAAGTCTAGATTATTATAGAATCTGCCTTTAGTTTCAATTTGTTTCAGTGACAGAAACGTGGTTACTGATTACACCTAACAGATGTTCTTTGGTTAGCTTTTGGACAATAATGACTTAAAAGTGTCAAAGAAGGTGTTGTGGATAACCGTTAGAATGTAATAATGTGAAAACTATAATAGCAGCAGGTTAGAACTGTCTCAGAATAGTTTACTGTGAATAAATAACAGTGTATAAATGGCAAATCAATCAGCAACGAAAGTAAGATCTCAGGATTACTTCCAAGATGTTTTATGAACTACTTGACAATTGATATGTAATAATACATATTTATAAAAAGGTTTATATTGATTGATTGATTGATTGATTGATTTAACATCCATAACTGTTACATTATGTACAATTGGACAAGTCAGTTTTTTAAAAAAATATATAGGTTATATAGGTTTTATTTACAGATAGGTGGGAGATATTCAACATAAGGTGATTGGATGAGCACATATTTGACCTCAGTTACAATTACTTAATGAGTTAACAAATCTTTACAGAAAGCAGTTACTATTAACTCCTGCAGACACTTCACTTAAACTTAATAGTAAAATTCGAATTTATGCATTATTCCTTTGTTCTTAATCTTCCTACAATCTACAAATTCCTATAAAGACTGAAAATGGCTCCAAATTTACCGTTTCTGGTTTAACATTACTTAACAGTGTTGGTAATGAAACATGTGAACAATCACCAGGAACATCCTATCCACAGACTCATCAGTAACATGTAGAACTCAAAATTCAGTCATCAGACAACAGATGATGTAAAACAAGAGAAATGAAGTTACTACCTCCATGCAACAAGTCAATCTTGAGAAGTCAATAGTCACTCAGATGACAGAAGATATTTCCTGGCTTTGCTAGAACTCACATGCATGTAATGCTCTCTCTTTCAAGTTTTCTGACTAAAATTTTATAGACACTTCTGTCTCCATGTATGCTACATGTCCTGTCAATCTCGCCTCCTTGGTTTGATCACCTGAACAATAACTGATGAAGAGTACAAATTGAAACTCCTCATTACTTCCTCTCTCTCTAGTCTAAAATTTTTTTACCAAATCTGATTCTAAAATACTCTTAAACTATATTCTTACTTTACAAGGAGAGACCAAGTTTCACACCAATACGTAGGAATAGGCGACATTACAGTTTTGTATATTAGATCTCTATGTTTCTACATGAAAGAAAGGAAAGCAATGCCTCTGAAATGAGTGGCTAGACACATTCCCCAAATAAAACTTATTACTAAATTTCCTCTCTGGAAATTAACCAGTCTGAAGACAGCTGAAGACACATACTCGTTTTCCCTGACTCTCCTCAGCACTAGAAGAGGCACTCCCTGAGGCCACCAAGATGGGCTCCGTAATAGGCTTCATGGGAGGTGGAAGTGGTGGCAACTCCTCCTCCCCCTCCTCTCCATTCTCCTGAGGTGGGTAGTTGGAAGTGGTAGCTTGAGGTGTCCCTGGGACAGCAGCAGTGGAGGCTGCAGCTGTTATGGCAGTCATGCGGTCCTCCTCCTCTCCCGACTGACTCTGTGATGCCTGCTTGTTACCCATGTCTCCAGGTGGCAGCTACAACAAGTTATTTATCAACATATTATACGGGCAAAATAGATATTATGACTACAGCCTCCTGGAATGTGATGCCATGTAAATCTCAAAATGGAAAGTATTATTCCAACTTCTTTTGATCCACTGGGCATGCACATGTTCACATGGTAATTCTGTACAATGGTAAACCTTAAAAGAATAATGAATTTAATGAAGCACATCCATAAAATTTTGCCAATATGCATGTAACACCTAGAATAATAATTCAAAAAGCATGAAAATTATGATGCTCCAGCATATGTTCCTTGCTCGTTTTATGATAGGAAACTTTTCCAGCAGAACATGTTAANAAATTCAATTCAATTCAACAAATAAACAATAATACATTTAAGTTTTTCTTCTGTTTACAAGGCATTCCTGTAAGAATTGCAAATTCAGAATTATTTATTATATACATATTGAACCAGTATATATATATGTTAGGCATATAAATTATATTCAGCTCTTAATATTCATGTGTAATGCATTTATGAATATGTGACTACAAAATAAGATTTTGAATGGGACTAAATTTAAATTATAAGTAAGTGAACCTTAAGTGAGTAATCTAGCAGGGTAATGTACAAACAACAAAGGTTCACTATGAGTGACTACAGTCCACCACCAACAGTGGATAAACAATCATCATTTTCTAATTACTGTCTGAAACACTTCAAGTATGAAATTATAAGTGTGATATTTGGGTACCTATTCCTTGCACATTCCATCCAGCTTCAGATATCCTCAAAACATGCAAGAAACCCTCATTCTTTTCGCATTAACAGTATATCTCAACTTTCTATGCATGAGCCTCAATGAGAAATTAGAAATTGCAATAGACTTCTCCACACATTAAATGTAACATTCAAAACTGTCACCTATTACACTCTGATATTTTGTGAATATAAATTTTGCAGTTTATTTGTATTGATTCCATGATTCTTATAGATTGAATTAGTAAAATATGGAACAATTAATTAATTACAAAATTGAACATATTTCTTCTACACAGTCAAATATTCAAGACACAAAATTTTAATGAACACTGTTTAAACCTTACAGTTCCTTTCAAAGTTACTCTTACAAATAGAAACCAGAAATTTTAAAAACAGGGAATTTAACATTACAAAGCTGTATCATGTGATGAGACATTTTCTACTACACCACTTCCGTTGGTAATTGGTTGATATAAGAGTTATGTTTACTTTTGAATGTTTGCTGTCACTTGTAACCATACGAAGTTAAGTAAGCTATTCCTTATGTTTCAGTTACAATATATATGAGTTTTTGAAGTTTCTTGATAAATGACAGCAGAAAATTTCAAAACCTCAGAAAAGTTCATGACAGACTTCCTTTACCTTCCTATACAACCACAGGTAGGTTGTACCGAAAGTCATGAGCAACTTTTTTTGCATGCAACCTGGGAAGAGCAGATGAAAGAGAGTATGGTGGTAGGTGGAACCAGCTGTTCTGTTAACCTTGAGTGTCTTGTGACATCAACGGCTTGCATCACATGACCAGTATCACTCCTAACAAAATGACCAACAATGATACGTCGTTTCACCAGCGTGCTGTCATCAAATTTCTTGTGAAAGAGGAAATCCCTGCTGCAGAAATTCACCAGAGACTTCAGCGTCCTTATGGAAGTGTGTGAATGGGTGCAAGCAGTGTTCGAAGATGGGTGAAACATTTTAAAGATGGGAACACCAGCATCGAAGATGAGCCTCGGAGCGATTGTCCTCGAACAGCCTCAATTGAACGCAACAAGGAAAGAGTGGATGAGATCATTCAAGATGACAGGCATGTGACTGTGGACACAATAGCCTGAAAACTTGGAACAGGGCACAGTGCAATACAGGAGATGATTGATAGCTTGGGCTATAGGAAAGTTTGTGCTCGTTGGGTCCCGCAGTTATTGACGAACACCACAAAGGTCAGCGAAAAGTCATCACCTCAGAACTGCTGCAGAGATATCGACACGAAGGCGATGATTTTTTGCTCTGTATTGTGACAGGTGACGAAAGCTGGTTTCACCATTTCGAGCCTGAAACGAAACGGCAGAGTATGGAATGGCACCATTTGCATTCTCCATCAAAAAAGAAGGCAAAGACAGTGCCATCAGCTGCGAAGGTGATGGCCACAGTCTTCTGGGATGCAGAGGGGTTTATTCTGGCCGAATTCCTGGAATCTGGGCAAACCATCAATGGTGCTCGTTATGTCCAGACACTACACAAGCTCCGTCATGCATTGCGCGATAAACGTCCAGGGCGAAACATCATCCTGCATNGACAACGCTTGCCCCCATGCTGCTCGCCTCACATTGGAAGCAATTGCAAAGATGGGGTGGGAAGTTCTTCCACACCCCTCCTATAGCCCTGATCTGGCACCCTCCGACTACCATCTTTTCGGATTTGTAAAGGATCAGCTGCGTGGGCAACGTTTTGAGACAAGGGAGGCAATTCAGAAAGCAGTGCATCAGTGTCTTCAGATGGCTGGAACAGAATTTTACAGAAGGGGAATTTTCTAACTCCCAGAACGCTGGGAGAAATGTGTACAAAGAAGTGGAGATTATGTGGAAAAATAAAGAAAGGTCTGTAGATTGAGGTGGTGTATTTGGTTTGTCAATAACAAAGCATGTTACTTTACAAAAAATTGTTGCTCATAACTTTCAGTACGACCCTCGTATTTCTACACTCATAAACAAATCACAGGTACTTGTAATACACACATTAACCTTTTGGTCTTCCTAGTTATGACATCGACGAAATTACTGGCTCCACCTTCACTTATAACCCTGAAGATGGAAGCAGTATGTTCCTCCGAACATACGAACTACAACCGGATTATACCATGCCATATATTCCAGAGAACCATATATCCACCTTTAGCGCCGTAAGAATATCAAATTTCATAGAAATAATTTCCATATTTTACATTTATTCGTATAATTAATAAACTTCGTGCCCGAAATATTTTCGCATTACTCTCGTAACTTTATGGGCATCTGATTTTAAATTCTGAAAAACGATCCGTGTTATTGAGGCGATGTTACGAACACTTGCGAAACAACGGCATAGTATTGACACTTCGCACAGAGACTGCAGAAGTTGGTTATTCCCAGTTTGTACAGGCGTGAAACATTTTCGATCCGCCAGCAGATGCCACTATACACTGTTGGCACTCTGGTTGGATGTGTCACAATGGTGTGTTACTGCTGCGTCATGATATTCAGTAGTAAAGAGTAAGCTGGGAGTTTTTAAAGATCCGCGCCATACAGTTTATAGAAATGTGGCCATTTCCTGCAACACCTCACTCATGGCGCGGATACAGGCCGTACTGCTCATGATAAAGACGTTCGTGTCATAGTCTGACCCGATACATCCATATTCCCCCATAGTATGGCTGCTTTTTCAAACACTTATCGGACATATTTTATGTGAAGAATTCATTATTTCGTTTCCGCTGGGCTCAATTCACGCGTATGAGGACGCATCTTTCCGGTTGTCGTTCAGTTATAATCAACTTAAATTATGATACAGGTGTAACAGTTAAAGATTGTTCCAAGTAGGTCAATTAAGTCTTCTGGTCATTGTTTTCGGGAATAAAATGCCCTTGAAATTGTAAGTTAACACGTCAATGAGCAATGAAAGTGCTGTTCCAACTATCACGACCCGGGAGCATGAACTTGAAACGAAGAAATACAAAATTCAAAGCGGAAATTTGTGTCTAAGGAAAAGATCAAGACAGTAATTATTTTGTTTAATGAAGTTAGATGCACTGAAGACGTACCGAGAGGAAAGTGGATAAAACATACGTATACTATAGCATCTTCCCCGTGTGAAAGCGGGTTAGAATATTTCCACCCTAGCCCTGCGAGTCGTAGAAGGCGACGAAAATGGAACCCGGGTGCCTAGGAATATAGCTGTGGCCACCCTGTCACTCGGGAACATAAATAAAGGGACAGGGTCCTGATTCTCCAGGTTGGGGGCTGGACGGAAGGCTGACGACCTTGTTCTGTAGGAGAGAGGAAAAAAACTATTGTTGCGAAATACAAAGAAGCGAAAATTGGATTAAAATTTGGCAGAATCTTCTACGAGGCTATGGCTCAAAAACTTCCGTCTTGCCGACGATGATGATGATGATGATGAATATAGCATCAGCTCCTCAATAAGTTTTATCTCCGAACTACAGAACGGATTCGGACGACAATTAGGATTGACGTATATCCCAAAATCTGTCAAGTGAATTCCGTTCTGTTTGGAATTGACCCGATGCAACAGTTTACATGAAGAACAAACCGAATTTCATTAATATTCTACAAACTGCTCATCGTAGTGCCCACTTAGAGATAGATAGAGAGAGAGAGAGAGGGAGAGAGGAGGAGGAAGTCATTTGAGGGCATAATTATATCCTTTACTGAAATCCAGGACTACAAGTTCATTTGAAACAATTATCGATATGGAGACTATTTAACGAACCACAAGAAAATAATTTCTGGCTATGTACAGTAGTGTTATATGTAGTGCATATGGCACCTGAGGTTTCCAACATAGCCTGTATACAAACGTTTATTCTGTAGATGGAAGCATAATGGTCACTCGAAACACTGACAACCACCTACCAGACTACAAAGTGTAACAATACAGAATATGACGATCCATCTTTCGTACGATGAACTGTCAAAGAGTCGGCCTGAATTTGCAGAAATGTATGTCTGTGAAAATATATGAACGTAAACACCAATGCGAAACCCGAAGTTCCAAAACAACGAATTTGGAAAATATGTGGACTCTGGAGTGCACTGCCAGAGTGTCAGGGGCTGTCATTACAAATAAGCAAGTACAATCAAAAGGAGAAAAAGGATGAGCGAGCTAGCATTTAATGAATAACAGACTGCACTGCCTTGCTGCTCAGGAAATAAAAATCAACAAATCTTTCAACAAAACTGCAACCTGTATCAGATCAATGGAGGAAGAACGACA